CGGATCGGGGCGCTGGGCCGGGGGCGCGGGGTCTGGGGGCTGCGGGGCCTGGCGGGCGGGCTGGCGGCGTGTCCCCGCGGGGCAGGAGGGGGCTGGTGGCCGCGGGCAGCGCAGCGCCCTTCCGAGGCGGCCCGCTCGCTCGGTGGCAAGACGGTCTGGGTCTCGGTGCCTGCCGGTCCGTGGTGGAGCTTCGCGCAGGTTTTCACGCTGCCGGCGGTGACCGTGTCTGGACCAGCCTCAGTGGGCCTCCCAGAGCAGGGCCTCCCTCTGCTTCTCTCCCTTACCTGGCCCCGCCCTCCGCGTGTTCGAGGCTGGGGCTTCCTGGCACCTGTGGGCATTGAGGCTTGGCTGTTTCCAGGAGCCGGCCGGCCGTGCAGCTGCACCAGCCACGGACCTTACCCGGGATGGGAACCCTGTTCCCATCACCAGCGGCGGAAGCTTCTGGTGGGAGAGAGGAGCAGAGGCAGTCAGATGAAGGTAAAACCGACTTAGATCCTAGAAAAAGGCTTTCCAAGCAAGAGTGAGACTAGTCCGTTTGGGGGACTGTTTCTTGCCTTTCCTGCAGGAGCGATGTGGCTTTGGAGCGATGTGGCTTTTTACCTAAGGGAAGGGTGGGCTCCCCGTCAGCTCCCAGACCATTTCCAACTCAGTGACTGGTTGCGTTAATATCATGTCTTAAAACTTTCATTTGGAACATTTCAGACAGAAAGTTAAAAAACAGTTTAGTGAGCACCTGTGTAACGACCACCCATCTTAAGTAAACATTAATTGAAATTTTCTGGATGTTCTGCTTCAAACCCGGTCCTTTCCTGTATTCTGAGGAAGCCCCTGTCTCGGGTTAGGTCTGTTGACCCGTTAAAACAGCTTAGAGCTTAGCCAGTTCAGTGGCACGTAGGAATGAAGCCTGATACCTGCTCCTCTGGTAGCCTTGAGTGGGTCATAACCACCTGCCGTTCTGGGTAGGCTGCCTATGCCCCTCACCTGCAGGCCTCATTTAGCTTGAAGGAGCTGTTGCTGCCTGTTACTGATCCTTTATTGAGACCCTGAATGTAACGTTTTGAAACATGGTTGATTTCCAGACCAAGTACACACTGATAGATGAGCAAGATATCCCACTGGTGGAGGGCTACTCCTTTGAGGTAAGGATGGCTATTCCTTTGCTCCCCTACTTTCAGTCACTGCCTGGGGAGGGTCGTGAGGGATGGGTTTTATCCTCTGTGAGGGCAGCCTGGCTTTGGCTGCCCAGTGGAACCCCTACCACCTCTGTGATACTGGTCTTCCCCCCCACTTCTACTCCGGTTGCTGGCTCTTCCTGAAAACACATCGAATTGTGTCATGCTTGTGCTTGAGTGTTCAGTTGGACAAGCCTTGGGTCCTTATGAGGCTGTGCACTGCCACCCCACCTTTCCTCTGGCCTTGGCCCCACTGTCCCTCTGTGCCCTGGTGCTCTCTACTCTCCCTCTCCCTGAGCTCCCTTGCCTTCCGCAGTTCTCCACTGGATGAGCCAGTCCTCACCTACCAGCTCCTCCCCGTCAGAATTCCTCCAGGAGTCTGTGGACCCACTAGACTTTTATTTCAGCCTTTCATGCTTTTATAGCACAGATGACCGTTGGACAACATGGCTTTGAACTGCACAGGTTCACTTATACATGGGTCCTTTCTTTGATAAACATAGTCCAGTACCGTAAATGTATTTTTTTCCTTGTGACTTTCTTATTTATTTTTTTGAATGTTTACTTTTCATTTTTGAGAGAGGGAGCATGGGCACCGGTATGAGTGGGGGAGGGACAGAGAGAGGGAGACAGAGGATCTGAAGCAGGCTCTGCACTGACCGCAGCAAGCCTGATGAGGGGCTTAATCTCACGAACCTCAAGACCATGACCTGAGCCAAAGTCAGACGCTCAACTGACTGAACCACCCAGGCGCCCCTCCCTAAGACTTTCTTGAAAACGTGTTCTTCTTTCTAACTTTACTTTATTGTAAGAATATAGCATATAACACATGCAACATACAAAAATATTTGATACTCGTCTGTTGTTGTTAAGGTTTCTGGTCAGCAGCAGGCTATTAGTAGTTAAGTACTGAGAAGTTAAAAGTTACACGTGGATTTTCAGCTGTGTGGGGCTTACCTCAAGGATGAACTGTAGTTACTTGTCCGAGGCTTTGTTTTTCTTACTGAATTGTGGGCTTTTTCTAAAAGTGGGAGAATTTATTTCTCTGTGTTCACAGTGTTTTACAGAGTGGTTTGTAAGTGAGTTATTGCTGGGATACAGGGCTGATTTCTCACATCTGGAAGTCTCTGCAGAGCTCTGGGTCCCAGAAACAGGCCCCATATATGTATCCTGGTTTGTTTGTTTCACTTAATTTTTCTTTCTTTTTTTTTTTCTTTTTAATTTTTTTTAACGTTTATTTTTGAAAGAGAGAGAGAGAAACAGTGCATGAGCGGGGGAGGGGCAGAGAGAGAAGGAAACACAGAATCCAAAGCAGGCTCCAGGCTCTGAGCTGTCAGCACAGAGCCCGACGTGGGGCCTGAACCCATGAACCATGAGATCATAACCTGAGCCAAAGTCGGATGCTTAACCGACTAAGCGACCCAGGCGCCCCTTTCACTTAATTTCTTTAAGAGGGATTTCCAATGTAGCTAAGAATCAGAAACTTTTTAACAGACCTTTTCTTTGCTCCTTCTCAGGCCCGGATGGAAGTAGATGCAGATGGAAATGGTGCTAAGATATTTGCATATGCCTTTGACAAAAACCGGGGAAGAGGGTCAGGAAGGCTGCTTCACGAGCTGCTGTGGTAGGTGTCTTCAAACTGCTTATTTTCTATTTGGGTACCGCATGAGCCCTGATGCGCACATAGAGCCTGCAGAGACACCTGCCCTCATTGACAGAAGATGCTTTCCCTGAGTCGTGCTCCCGCACCCTCTTAGTTACCTTTGGGTCACTGCCATTAACTCAGAGGAATGGCTCATTCGCATATTGTGTCACTAATAGAGCAGCCTAAAAGCGCATTTTTTGCTCGTACTTGCTCCAGACACAGCCTCCTCTGGGGTAGGGTGGGGTCTGCTCCCTCCACTGGGCTCTCGCTGAGCCTGTCGGTGGGATGTGAGGAAAGGACTGCCTCTCCTTGGTGTGCATGGTGTAGTTCCACAGTGCCTGGGACTACTCTGATGGGGAAGTCTCTAGATTGTGTTTGATGGTCGGGGTTCTGTCAAGGGGCTGGACTGTCAACACGGTCTGTCTTGTTTGGCCACGGACCGACACGCTTAGATTCCTCTCAACACCCTCGTTCCTAATTGTCCCCATCAGCGTGATGAGGGGCCAGTTCAGATCATAGGGCGGAAGTATTTGGGAAGGCCAGAGGAGGCTGATTGAGGGAGACGCCTTGTTTTCCAGGGAGCGGCACAGGGGAGGCATTGCTCCTGGGTTTCAGGTGGTACACCTCAATGCTGTGACTGTAGACAATCGCCTGGACAACCTGCAGCTGGTGCCGTGGGGCTGGCGGCCCAAAGCCGAAGAGACATCCAGCAAACAAAGGTGGGGCTTCTCGGGGCCGGGGGAGCCGGCAGAGGTGCCTCATGGAAGGTCCTCCTTCAGGCTCTTGTTACTAAGAGGGGCCCGTGTCTCCACTCTGATCTGATGCTTCTGTGGGAGTGGAGACCTTGATTATTTTCCCTCAAAGTTTTCCCTCTTGTTTTCTTCACGGGGTTGGGATACCATTTTGATAATTTTTTTTTTTTTTTTTTAAATGTTTGTTTGTTTCTGAGAGAGAGAGAGAGACACAGCACAAGTAGGGTAAGGGGCAGAGAAGGAAGTAGACACAGAATCCTGTGAGCTGTCAGCACAGAGCCTGATGTGGGGCTCGAACTCACAAACCGTGAGATCATGACCAGAGCTAAAGTTGGACACTCAATTGAATGAGCCACTCAGGCGCCCCTTCTAATGATTGGCTCTAGTGGGGAGAAGAGCTGTCTGGGCTGGATGCCTGCTCATGGGCAGGACTTCTCCTTTGTGTCTCTGAGAAAACTTGGACATCTTTATCTGGGGATGCCTCCTGTACACACACATGTGCATCTTTCTGTCATGCTCTTTGGCTAAACACCTAAGCAGTGGCTTAAAAGAAGCAAGAGAGTGTGGTTTGGGGGCTCTGCTGCTCAGTCTCTGCCTCTGCATGGTCCTGACAACAGTGCTGCTCAGGCTACTGCGGGTGTCCCCCTTGGGCGAGTAAGATGCTCTGAGGCAATTCCCATGGCCCCAAGAGCAGTCTGGGTGTGAGCTTCATGGAGGCCTTGGGAAGAGCTGGGGAACCAGCAGAATGGAAGGTAGGAGCTGAAATTAGCCAGGGTGTTCCTGGCCACGTGTGCGTTATCTGTGGGCTCACTGGGGCTCTCTGGGGTTTGTGCACGTCCTTGGGCCTCTGGGAAGGCTCTTTCATCAAACAAAATGAATGTGAAGTTAGGGATTAGCAACAGAAGGGTAAGGGCAGCTCAGCAGGCGTATCAGTGTCTGTAGATTTCCCCCTGGGTTGTCCAACACGGATGCTCATCCAGTGTGGACACCGGGAGCGGCCCCGCCTCCCCCAACACCAGACAGGTTTCCTTCTGCTCACTGGAGACCTGGAAGGGGCTGCCCACCCCTTCACCCGCAGCGGATCTGCTCCTGCTATCGCTATCAATCGTTACTCTAGGCCTCTGTGTGACTCATGGTTTGGCCAGCCTGTGGCTGAACGTTGTTACGTTTCTTCATCTGAACACTCTTTATGATCATAAGATAACCACAATTGAGAACACCTGTTTGGAAAAGGATCCATTCCATCACAGGCCACCCTGCCCAGTGGTCTCTTCTGGGTCGTGGCCTGCCTGCCCCGTTCTCCTCTAGGCCATTCCCATGAGGCCCAGGACAGGCTGTGTTCTTGAGGTTCTGTCCTTTGTGTCATCCCAGGAACTAATCAAGTGGGACCATCCTTAGTTTGTCAGCTAGGGATTCAGACTCTCCCTCTACTTGTCGTGGGTCGGAGCCAGCCTGAGTGTGGCCTGAAATACCAGCTGGCCTGGGCATTATGTGGTCTGCACTCTGCAGGTCCTTGTGGTGGGAATCCCCCTCTTTGTGAAGCAGGGAACGTGGCGTCATGGCTTCTCCCAGGCCTGCACCTCCTGCCCTGCTTTCCTTCAGTGTGGGGCCACAAAGGCGGCTCATCCAAGGGGGGGAAGGGCCTCTCTGTCAAGGTGTGTTTTCCTCCCTTTCTGCTTCTAAGAGCCGACTGGGATTGAAACTTGCCTGTGTCGTGTAGGACTTCCTTGAAGGGCTCAGAAGGCAGCCAGCACCCTCCTACGTCCTGACACGTCCCTTTTTTTTTTTTTTCCTTTTAAAAAACCTTTCTTATTGTG